TTCTTACACAGGCGGCCCCACAGAAAAATGAGATTGACTTCATTATGACGCCTAGACAGCAACAGCTGTTCAGTGATATCCAATGATCGTGATGGTGAAAACTGGCACCGGTCACCGTGGTGAGAGGCACACTGAATCTTAAACGTTGAGTTGGTCACGTCTAATGAAGTCAACGCTCTGTTCCCCTCGTGCTCTAATCCAAAGTCCCGAAAACTCTCGATTTACAAAATCGTTTTCAGTGTCTAGACGACTGCAATGCAGTGGACTATGAATGACAAGCTCGTTTAAACACACACAAGTTATGTATGTAAAGTTTGTTTACTTTAACTTTACTTTTTTGTTATAATTTTTTTCTTTATTAATTATGTACGTACTTTTAAATCTTAAATATTATAAAATGGGTTGAAGAACGAGGCATCCCCAATACGAGTGTGGTAATTACTATCTGGGGCGTCTCAAAAACATGTATAATTAAGTTTTGAGAAATAAAAGTATTATTATTATTGGGGGTATTTAAATAGTTCTCTCATCTGGTTGGGCTGAATAAGTAAATAAAAGGAAATGATAAATGTACATAAATATATATAAAATATACTAACATAAATAACTAAATAATACATAAATAAATAAAAGCCCATCCAGACGGAGCCCTCGGCAGGGGAGATCAAACGGCCGATGGTTGGGGGAAAGGGAAAGAAACAGGCGGACGATGCGGGCGATATCCAGGAGCACCGCCTTCTGAATTTGAGCCCGGAGCGGTCCGCCATGGAGTCCCAGTCCCGGTCGCCTCAGATGATCTGAGAGGCTGACTGGGATTAGACCGTTCGCAGAAACTACCACAAGAATCATTTCGGCCAGTAGACCACCCCACATGTCGGTCACCTCGTGAGCCAGGTCCAGATACTTTGTCTGCTTATCTGTTTCGGCTTTCAAGAGGTTCTCGTCATAAGGAATAGTAATGTCGACCAAAAATATCCTTGACTGTGCCCGGTCCATCAGCACAATATCAGGCTTATTCGCAAGAATAGAATCCGATGCTGATGGCCCGGTCCTAGTAGAGCCTGGCGCGGTCATTTTCGAGCACGGCTTCCTGCAAGTACTTATAATAAGGCAATTTCCGAACCACGAGTCCGTATTTCAGAGCGAGCTCCTGGTGTAGAATCCTGGCTACTAGGTTGTGTCTGTGCAAATACTCAGAGTTAGAAAGCGCCGAACAACCGGATATGATATGCCTATGTGACTCATTGGGATGGCGACAAGCTCGACAAATGTCGACGGTGCCATCTTTTAGGATGTATCTCCGATAGTTATTGGTCTTAATAACCTGATCCTGTATTGCACAGACAAAACCCTCGGTTTCCCCGAAGAGGTCACCAAAACGTAGCCAGTGGAGGGAGGCAACTGTGTCTACGAAAGGCTCATGTATAGTCTTGTAGAACCTCCCGTGAAGCTCCTCCTCCTTCCAAACGGCCTCCCGGTCGGAAATGCTCTGTACTGCAAGGTCTTGCCATTGCTCGTTGGTTGAGGATAGAGGGGTAGGTCCTTTATCGTAAGAAATGACGTCCCTATAGAATGGATCATCGGCTCTCGTCAGAAAGTAATTGCGAAGGCTGCACACTTCGCGATTATGCATCGTAAGCGCGCTTAAAATGCCACGCCCACCATGTTTCCGCGGAACACATCGCAAACTGACTGTTTCATACCCGCCTCGTCGATACCGATATTCTGTGATATACCCAGGTATCGGTATATTTCAGTCTATTATTATTATTAATGAAACTCCATGCGGTCGAAGCTAAGCTCTGCAAGACCCGTCGCAGAAGAATACAAAAGCTCTCCGATCACAATCTTAGTCTTATAGCTGTTAGACGGGAAATGAAGCTGCGGTCTTCAACAGATTTGACAGCATGCAGGCAGCTGAATAAACAGATCTCCTAGTACATCCGGCGGGACTTACGCAACTACAATACACATCGTGTTTTGAAGAAGCGATTGAGGAGATTCAGGGCTCCAAAGTCTTTGCCAGAGATCTGTTTGTCAGAAAAAACCAATTGTCGAACTTGAAGACCGAATATGGCAGCATCGTGGTTGTACAATCTTATTTTTAAGTTTTGAAGTATATCCGACGAGAAGATTTGTTGTAATCTCCCGAACGCTGCCAGAGTTGAATCCGTCGATTGACCTTTTGGTCGAAGTTGGACATCTTACCTAGTCGAACTATTTTTCCCAGGTACATACTCACAACATACTCTTCAACAACTTCAAGCTTAGTGCTCCCAACAACTCGACAACTGTTGAGGTCATTGAGCATAGTGCTAGGTCCTCCAACGATTCTGCTATAAGAACTATATCGTCGACAAATCGAAAGTGAGTAATGTACTCCAGTCCAGTAGCTTGAGAACGTCTTCCAATGCAACGGTGAAGAGTTGTGGAGATATAAGGTCACCCTGTCTTACACCTCTCTGCTGTTGGTTAGGTTTCGTAATCTGTTTCTGTACTTGGTACAATTTTCCAAAGGAAATGTATGTGGTCTGTGATGCTGAAGTTTTCCGAAACCGGCTCTTTCGGGGAGGCTGGAAGTCTTCGAGCGTGCGAGACTATTCGTAATAACTATCGAAAACAGGACGTAGACGCGGCTCCGAAGGGAAATCGGTCTTTAGTTCTTCAAGAGAGCGTTGTGGCCCTCTTTAAAGAACAGGACCACCGCACTTCTGCTCCACGCCTCCGGAGTAGTCCTACCATGGAGGACGGAATTATAAAGCTTTTGAAGGACTTCAAGTAGGTACTGGTTTTTGACCCGCTTTCAAAAGCTCCGCTGTAATTCCATCCTCGCCGTTACCGTTTTAAGGTACTGGAAATCTATTCTAAACTCACTCAGACTGACGTCCGGGCTATCATCTGAATAGTGTTTGATGAGACTTACTTTTGGATCGTTTCTCACACTTGCGTGTGGCTCCAACGATGACGTGCGTACAGCTGCTCATAGAACCTCTCAATCTCACTTAAAATCTCAGGTGTCACATTGCCGTGTCACTAGATTACTTATTTTTGTAAATACGTCGACAATATTTATATTTAATGTAAGTACAATTTTTAGGACTGTACTATTTCTTTCTTTCTTATTTTTCTTTTCTTATTAAAAAAACGTTCATCTGCTGTGCAATTTGTGCTGGCGGACGGGGGATGTCCCGGATGATTGGCGATCCGCAGTCATTGTGCCTTTATATAAAGGTAAAGGTTCACATTTTGACTGCGGGTGCTATCGGGCGATCAGCTTGACCAGTTTAGCAAATAAAGTTTACTCGAAGGTTTTGACACGTAGGATGCAAGAGAAATCGGAAAGATTTCTATGGGAGGCACAATGCGGATTTAGACCTGGAAGAGGATGCACGGATCAAATGTTTTCTCTCCGCATGATCACGAAAAAGCTTCTGGCTGCTAACCAGAAGATTTTCTGTGCTTTTGTGGATCTTGAGAAAGCATTTGATAAGGTTGTAAGGAAGAAAATGTGGGAACTGTTGCCGGGGTATGGTGTGGATGGTCGATTGCTAAGGGCTGTGCAGTCTCTTTACTGTGACTGTAAAGCCTGTGTGCGGGTAGGGCATGACCTGTCACCCATGTTTAGCGTCCAAACGGGCGTAAAACAGGGTTGTGTCATGTCTTCCTGGCTGTTCACACTGTATCTCGACAGCTGTTTACAAAAGCTGAAAGATAGCTGTTTGGGTGTGAAATTGGGTGACATAAAAGTAAATTGTTTGCTGTACGCTGATGATGCAGTGCTCATTGCACCATCAGAGGCAGAACTGCAGGCATTAGTCACGTGTATGAAAGAGGAATGTGAAATTAAAGGTCTCCGTTTGAACGCTAATAAAACTAAGGTTCTGGTATTTGAAAGGGACGAAGAGAGAACGAAGTGTGAAATATGGGTAAATCAGGAATGTCTAGAACAAGTAAATGAAATTGTATACTTGGGGAGTGCTTTTAGCCGGGATGGAAGATGTGATTTAGATGTGGACAGGCGTATCGCTGCCGGGAACAAAGTCAATGGTGCCCTGACAGTGTTGGTACCGACTTTGTTATATGGCAGCGAAACCTGGGTATGCCAGAAGAAGCATAAAAGCAAGTTGAATGCAGTGGAGATGCGATCTCTTCGTAAAATGTGCGGCGTTACCATGGCCGACCGAAAGCGAAACGAAGAGATTCGCAATATGGCAGGTTTGAAAGATGACCTTATCACAAAAATTGATAAGGGCGTGCTTCGGTGGTTTGGGCACGTTGAGCGAATGAGTGAAGACCGAATGGTGAAGAAAATATATAGCGCGAAAGTTAATATTAAAAGGTGTCGAGGTAGACCGAGACTAACTTTCGAAGACCATGTGAGCAAATTGCTCGAAGAGGGTAGGGTCAAGAGTACTCGGATACCTAGACGTACATGTATGAAGAAGATAATGAATCTGAAAGAAGCGAAAGAGGTATGTAAGGATCGTGACACTTGGCGATCTGTTCTCTCTGGCTACCCCGTCAGGGATTGTGCGTGAAGATAAGTAAGTATTTAAAAAACGTTAACTTTATACATATAAATTGCACAAGGACAAACATACCGACCCGGAACATAATTATGTAGGTTTTGGGAATCAGCTTTATATTTAATGGCTCTCAGGTTACCTATGAACCTTTTCTGCCAAAATTGATAACTTATGTAACGAAATGATGAAATTAAGGTTGATTATTATTATCAATTTGAATGACCAATACGATAAATTGAAATTACTTCCTTTTATTACAAATGTTTATTGCTATTATCAATGAATATGCGTTTGAAGTTAATAATATGTATATAGTCGTATAAAACTGAACTACAGGCATTGGTGTCAGTGGTTTGCAAGGCAGCGCGCGTACAGCCGCATCTTAGAAACCAGTTGTGTTTGCGAATACGACCGTTATTGGCGGGAAAGTATCGTAATTATTCTGCTACTTTTTTACGTCTTCAATTTTTAAGTATGGAAGAAAGGAATCGAAAGGTCGCCGAAGCTTATGAAAAATTTAAAATAAATCAATGGAGCAACGGTGGAAGCATAACGGTTAGTTTATCTGTTGGCTATTGTTTTTATTTGTTGAATATTCTACATTTATCAGAAAACATTATTTTTTGTTTGAAATATTTTTATTATAAGTGTTTTTAGCTTTGGAACTAGCAAATAATTCGCGTGATTTACAGAAGACTTGTTTTACTTTCACTTGTTTACCTTTTTTATGGTACAAGCTGCTACACATACTAGTTTCTTGACACGGCAATAAAACTTTCGTTTCTATTACTATTTCTTTTCTACTCAAATAGTTTTCGAATTCGAATTTATTTAAAATATACCTAATATTAGAAACCAAAATATTAATCATTGTAGTTTTTACATAAAGATTTGGATTTTTGATGAATTTTTGAGTAATGTTTGTTTACAGAGTATAGTATAGTACCGTTCCGTTGTGTTAGTTGTTTGTTAAAAACTTTGTGTGTTACTTATCTCGGTTATGATATTTAAACGAAAACTAGGTTTGAGATAAATTTTGAAAGTAGGTTATCATTATATATTTTATATATATATATATATATATATATATATATATATATATATATATATATATATATACTATATATAGAGATTTAGCGTTGTATCCCACCATGCACTTCTCTGTTATTATTGTTTTTGCAAACCTTTCTGATCATCCTTCGTTTATCAGGCCAGCGGTAAAACGAGTACCTGACTACCTTAATCAGTGATGGTTGTAACTTACAGATAATGTTTATTTCCTGCAGAGTCTAGATTTGCGTGCGTTGCAATCCATAAGACATACGATGGAATGCTTTTCCAATTTAGATTGTAAAGTTTCACCATTCAAATTACAAAATGCTCATATGTATAGTTTCAATAAATAAATAATTGATGAGAAAAATCCAGTGCTGAACATAGGCTCTCACTTAGATTGTCTTTTAGGTTGAATTTTGCCATAGTTGCTGCCAGATTCGCAACCGCAGCTTTTATCAGGAAGATGCTGCAGCCCAATTTCAGTTTCATCTCCGCCTCCTACGAAACCCACGAGAGTTTGGGGTAGTAGATATTCTCTTATACCTCCACGACACGGTTCTGATTCGATTACGTCAACACATTACTAATAATTACATGAATGATTTCGTCATTTGGATTATAGCCTTTATTTTGATTAGGCCACTTGTTGATTTATATATATATACTAGCTCGCCAGGCAGACGTTGTTCTGCGCTTTCCAACCACCCTTCCTATAAAAGTACTTAAATTCGCAATAAAAAATTTTGAGGGTCATTTAGCGGGATAAAAATTATCCTATCTCTCAAGATGGACCAAACTGCACACCGTGTGCAAAATTTCATTCAAATCAGTTCAGTAGTTTAGGAGTCCATCGCGGACAAACAACGTGACACGTAATTTTTATATATAAAGATACACTTAGTCGGGTCATAAGTTCTGTCAAAACTTTATTATTTAAAATTTTTGAATACTGGCTAGGTGAACTTCACCAATTTTAAAAATATAACGTTTGCGCTTACCGAAAATAAAAAAAAGACATTAATTTTAATTCATTTTCAAATATGGAGTGGTCGAAGAAAGAAGATAAAGTAGCGGTTATCGCGAACGCACCGTTGTGGTTACGCGCCAAAAGAGATTTTCAATATTCTACAAAAATTGAAAATAACCCTACGATGTGTTTATCGCACTGTCAAACGATTCACTAAAGATTCAAGCTTCGAAGATCGTAAGAGGACCGGCCGATCTCGTACAGTTAGGACACCCACGATCATCAAAGCAGTGAAGGCACGAATCCAACAAAGTCCTGTTCGTAAACAAAAAAATCTTAGCTCTTCAGATGGGCCTAAGCAGAACCACGGTCAAAAGAGTGATCAATGACGACCTAGGACTACGAGCTTATCGTAAGAAGACCGGATATTTTTTGAACGAGCGTTGAAAAAAATTAGGCTGGATAGATCCCGCGCTTTGTTACGGCGGTACGCGGGAAAAAAAATGCCGCAAAATTTTGTTTTCGGATAAAAATTTTGTTAACATCGAAGAAAGTTATAATAAACGAAATGATAAGGTGTATGCCCACAGCAGTGAAGAAGCCAGCACGCGTATTCCGAAGGTTCAACGAGGACATTATCCTTCGTCACTCATGGTCTGGCTTGGAGTCTCATATTCAGGCTTAACTGAGGTGTTTTTCTGTAAAAAAGGTGTAAAAACCAGTGCTGAGGTGTACCAAAATACCGTCCTAACAAACATAGTGGAACCTCTTTCTCAAACAATGTTCAAAAACAGACATTGGATATTCCAACAGGACTCTGTACCAGCTCATAGGGCACGAAACGCAGAACTGGTTGACCGCCCGTGGAATTGACTTTATCGGACATGAAGACTGGCCCTCTTCTAGTCCAGATTTAAACACACTAGATTACAAGATATGGCAACATTTGGAGGAGAAAGTCTGCGCTAAATCTCATCAGAATTTGGAATCTCTCCGAGCATCTTTGGCTAAAGCAGCGGCAGAAAAAGATATGAATGTGGTACGTGTTGCGATTGATGATTTGCCGCGCCGATTAAGGGCATGTGTTCAAAATAGGGGAGGGCATTTTGAATAATGTAAATAAAATTGTATTCTAAATTAAATTGCCTTTCATTTCATATATAATTTCTATATAATTATCAAAAAGTGTATTAATTTTATAAAAAGTTTTTGACAGAACTTATGACCTAAGTATAACTATTATTATTAATTTTACGTTATTGTCATCGCCTCTAATGAGTGGCTGAATATAATGTTATGCCGATCGTTGTTGCAGCAGTAGTTGTTAGCAAAATAAACAGATTATACAAATCGAATCATCATACATCAATCGAACATTTATTTGAAATTGTCCCAAATCCAATATGATTTATGGACTACAACGTTTTTGCCTTCCGACCGACCCCCACGAATGTGTGCGTGCGCGGTAAATTCAGTTAAAATAGTGCATTACCACGCATTTTAAATTTAAAAGATAAAAAGGACAGAATATTTGAAATTTTCTTCGCCATTTGCCTATATTACTTATTCTGAACCTCTGCAAATTAGGCCGGTTATTGCAAAATAACCGTGTATAATGAATCTGTATGTCATTTAATTTATATTGCATTTAGTATAAAATGTGCAACAGTACGTGTCATTTGTGATATGTAAACTCGATATTTGCCATAGATGTCATGCTTGGCAGGTGATTTGGCAACCGCAGTTATACATTATTTTGAATTGTTATCAGGAAGTTGCTACTAGTCATTTTCTTTTCCATTTCCGTTCATGTTTTAGTGGGATTGCAATTAACAATTTCATTGATAATTTGAAAATTTAAAGCGCGAGCTTATGTAATCAGACTCCATAAAGATAAATATTAAAAAATAATTGAGTAGCTTAGTGATTAGTATTTGTAGATAGTATCTGTTGTGTCATTCCGTTATCTTTATAAATATATTAACGCATTAAAATGACACTGATAAAGGTAACTAAGTAACTAAATTATCACACAAAATACACTTACAATAAAAGTTACTAGTGTGATGTGATCTTTTATATACTTTCCGTTCTTAATTTATCCACTTCCATAATTATATCTATACAAATAAATAAAATTGAACTGTCTGTTTGTAATGTTAAAATAGCAGCTTTTTACTAAACGCATAATATGAAAGTATATACGGAACTAATAACAAAAATAGCTTAATTTTTGTCTGTCTGTCTGTCTGTCTGTTCCGGCTAATCTCCGAAACGGTTGGACCGATTTTGATGGGACTTTCACTGGCAGATATCTGATGTTATAAGGAGTAGCTTAGGATACTTTTGTTTTAGAAAAAGAATTAGGGTTCCGCGCAAAAAAAATTAAAACCCATGAAATCGTAGCAAATTTCATGCGGGCGAAGTTGCGGGGTACAGCTAGTTTTTAATATAATATAGTTTTTTAAATTTAATTTTTAATATAAAAAGAAATTTTAAATATGTTAAATGTTTTTGACACCGGTTTGTGACAAAAATCACTAAGAGTTAGAAAGAGAAAAGGTGCTTGTTTTTGTTTGTGGGGTCACGAAGGTGGATTGTATGACAATGGTGCTAATCGCAGAAACCTGTAAATATTAATAACACTTGATATGTTCGTATATTTTTTTTTTATGTGCATTACATTAAAAATTAATTATTGACATTAAAAACATTTTTTTGTGACCTGTCAAAGTCTTTTGATTGGTTACGGCTTGATGTATTGATATTAAAATTGCAGCATCATGGTTTTCAAGGAGCTGAACTAAATATGATGAAAACTTATTTAAATAACCGTAGCCAAATTGTTTCAATAAATGAACAACTTCTTTAGCGAGTTCTATGTCGATTGGAGTACCACAAGGTTCGATATTAGGTCCTGTTTTGTTTTTGTAATGCATGCCAGACTATACATATTTAAGTTTATTTGCAGATGATACACACATCGGTTTAAGAGAAACAGTCTATCAAATTTAGAAGATAAAATTAATGATGTTATAGGCTTGCTAAAAGAATGATTTGACGCAAATGGTATTATTTTAAATTCTGATAAAAGCATTGTAATGCATTATCAATGGAGGCTAGGCATTTATGGTAACTCGACTACAAAAGATTTTAATTTATTAATTTAGTAATAATTAATTGAAAATGTATTTTTAGGGTATAAAGTAGATAGCACAATCAACCACAAAGCCCACATTGAAAAAATTTGTAAGAGAATAGCTAGCGGTAGTTATGAATTATTTAAACTCAAGCCATTATTAGATAAAAAGACACTAATATCTATTAAATATATAATTATATAATAAGATATGCCATTACTATTTGGGGTAATGCTACAGATATTATAAAAGTGTTAAAATGTCAAAAACAGTCTATAAGAATAATCAATTGTCTAAAAAAAGTAGCCGGCAAGAAAACATTTTAAGAACGACAAAATAATGACAGTGGTTTCGCTTTGTATATATGTATATACTAGCTGTACCCCGCGACTTCGCTCGCGTGTACTTTGGTTTTAATTTTTTTGCGCGGAACCCTAAATATTTTTCTAAAATGAAAGTAACCCAAGTTACTCCTTATAACATTAGCTATCTGCCAGTGAAAGTCACGTCAAAATCGGTCCAGCAGTTTCAGAGATTAGCCGGAATAAACTGACGGACAGACAGACAGACAGACAAAAAATTTAAAAATTGTGTTTTTATTATACGTACTTATATACTTTTTTCACATGCATTTAGTAAATAGCTGTTATTTTGACATTGCAAACAGACACTTCAAATTTTATTTTTTGTATAGATTACTTTATTAGAGGTACACGAGGATAAGGAAATACCGAAAAAGAAAAACGTAAATCAATGCAATCTGAATAATAATGAAAAACGTGTCCTACCAATGAATAGATTAATCTAAGTAAAAAAAAAAACAAGGGCGTTATTCAAAAATATTGATGTATAATAAATTACCAAAAAGTTTAATCAGACTAAATTATAGCAATTTTAAACGGAAACTTAATTTTTTTTTAATATAACCCATTTTACAAGTTAAGTGAATACATGTCAATGCAACTCTTGGAATCATCATTCTTGTGTGACGTGCTAACAAAATAACTAATTCTATGATATAAAGCGTCAATGTAACTAAGTTAAAGTACAATAGGTAATATAATTTAACCTTATATAATTTAAAATAAAAATTTTGTACAGCCGACTTCAATATAAGTTATTTAAGAATAACTTAAAAACTATTGGTCTGACCTTGATCAAATTCATATGGGACCACACGAGAAGTACCAGCTTTCAAATAAAAAAAGAATCATCGAAATCGGTTCACCCAGAAAAAAGTTCTGAGGTAACACACATAAAAAAAAAACGAAAAAAAAAACATACAGTCGAATTGAGTACCGGCTCCTTTTTGGAAGTCGGCAGAAAATTAAGAACTTTTGTAACCAATGACTTGCCTGTAACGATTGTTATATTATGACCATTATATATTTCTGTTTCTGATTCTGATTATAATATACCTATTACATAGCAATACTTTTATTATTTTCTTGTAATTTTTTCATCATCATCATCGAAAGTATACAAAGTAAATACTTTTTAACTGAGTAGTGCTCAGTAATTTGCTGTAATTTTGTAGGTACACATAATAAAGTTGTGTAATTTCTGAAAGCATTATTATACTTACGACCGATTACGATTACATCGGTTATCGTTCTACTCGTATGTCGTTTAACTTGTTTGCCATGATCGCGTGTTTTTCCATGAACCCTAGTTAAAAATTTCGTAGCCTCGATTGTCATATACATAATTTTGTATTAACATTCATACCGAATAGATTTGTTTAGATATATATTTATTTATACCTATTTCTACCATTTCTACCATTTCTACCCATTTCTACCATTTCTACCTATTTCTACCCATCATTGCTGTTAGGATAATAATAAAAATTTTAGGCATATATTTTTAAGCACATATTATCATTTATATTTAACGTTTCAACGTTTTTAGTTTCCATTATTTCCTGACAATGTTGCCGTTACTTCGAAATACTTGTGTGTACATTGATCTTGAGTCACATTAATCTAATGTAGCAATATTTAGCCTAAATATTCATCCTATTCCAAAAAATCGTTTGTAATTCGTCTCAAGTTTAACCTAGAAATTGTTTCACGAAAGAAATATGTGGATCGTGAAAAAATGTAGTAGAAAGTATTGAAGTATTTGGCAGCTAACGACAAATTTTGCGAAGCTTAGGCACTTCTTTTTGGTTCCTCTTCTTAAACCATAGCTTAAACTCGAGACTTTCCGAGAATATCAATAAACAACGTTTTCTAAGTAGACGAATTAGATTTTTCAAATAGAATTTTTATAAATTTATTAAATTAAGAATTTTACATTTTATGGTCACTAAATTTAATATTTGAACAAAATAACAACTAGTCTTATTTATGACGATTAAATCAGTATGCTCATGGCAAAAGAATAATGCGAAAAATGTTTTTTACGTCGTAGAGCCATGCCGCAGCTATATTACTGGTACATAGTTGTAGCACGAATGGCTCGGCTCGACCGGGGAAGGACCACGCTTTCACGGAATACCAGCGTAAAATAGTAGCTTAACACTACTGTGTTTCGTATGGTGAGTGTAGAGACCCGTAGACCCTTTTTACTGGAAGCGAAGCATTCCATCTTAGTCCCCCCCATCAGTTAGAGACGCTGCATATAAGCGGAAGAATTGAAAATATATGGAGAAATTTGACGAAATTGAACTTGAACCAAAGACATTTAACTAATAGATATTTAAAACTCTTTGGCTTGAACGTAAATTGAAAATATAAAGAATTTTATGATACAATTTACAACAACACCGTAAAATTTGATTAGAAGCCGAATGCAGTTAATTTAATTGGTTGTTTGCATTATCTATAAATAACCTATTGTTTTAAATGTTTGTGTCGGTTATTTTCGGAAAATGGCCCTGTACTTGAATGGACACGTTTATATTTAACTTTTAATTTGTTTTTTACTTTTAATTATTACGTGTATTTAATAAGGAACAGGAAGACAATATTTTTATTTTGTACAATATTTGTGCTATGTTTAGATATTTGACCTTTCGTTGAGGCCGAATATAATTGTTAACTCTCACGGTTATTCTATGCGTTTGGATATTAATTATTTTAGTATTTAATTTGAATATATTCTGATATGCTAAGGTAATTTTCACACTATACGGGAGGCTTATGTCACTCTGTAGGAGCGGCCTATGTTCAGCAGTGGACTTAAGTAGGCTGTAACTTTAACGGAAGATATTTTTCATGACTAAGTCATTTTTGTTTATATTATAAATAAGAGAACTGTGACTTAATAATTTAAATTTAAAAATTTTGTGCAACCAACTTCAATGTAAATTATTAAAAATAATTCAATAACTATTGGTCAGACCTTGATCAAATTTATATGGGACCACACGAGAAGCACCACATTTAAAATTAAATAAGAATCATCGAAATCGGTTCACCCAGAAAAAAGTTATAAGGTAACACACATTAAAAAAAACATACAGTCGAATTGAGTACCGTCTCCTTTTTGAAGTCGGTAGAAAATGACTTCAATCATAATTTAGGATTATTTAATAGAAATAGAATTAAGAACATTTTCTTGAATTTTTATTGTCATTTAATTTAATTATGTAGAAATAACATTAACGATGTGAGAGCGTGGTCCTTCCCCGGTCGAGCCGACCCATTCGTGCTACACTACTACAACTATACTACTAATATAGCTGCAGCATGGCTCTACCACGTGTAAAAGGTTATGCAAATCGTGCACACATTTTTCAAAATGCACCTCTAGAACACCAAAAGGCTTTCTTAAATGAAATAAAATTTATCATTCATGTTTGGCTCTTTAAAAAACATTTTACATTAATTTGTCATAGGGGAATAATTGCCACGCTTGACAAGCTGGTTGGCATCCGCAATCTTTTTTATATAGCTTTATCAGGAAAATGCTATTGTGCATCTCCCGATTCGGTTTACCTGTGTCGCTTTACTCAGGTTCAATCATTTTACTCAGGTCTTATTTATTTAATTTAGTAATATTTATTCCCATTTTTTTTTAAATTTAAATAGGCCCGGCGGTGCGCTTGCATTGCGGCAGCGCACCGCCTGGCAGGGTCGCCATGTAGGGACGAGGGAAATGAAATACTTGAGTGTTGACGTAAGACTGTCTGTAATTACGTTATTGTTAAGTTTATATATTAAATTATACCCAAACATACGTATATATATTAAGTAGATACTACACTTACAACACCCACGGAATGATATGCGGATATTCTTACGCCGCCACTATTCGGTTAAAAAATTTAATCGTTATTTTTTTTAAATTAATTATTTATATTACGGCAAGTTCTATTTTAACACACAATATTTTTCTTGTAGTGCGCACAAGTTGCCACGAACGTGGTGGAGCAAAAGCATCAAGTATCAAGAGCTAAGAGGAGTAAGGCACTTGGAAGCCGTGCTTTCAGAGGCAGCACCGTTTGGTTCACCGGCCTGAGCGGCGCGGGGAAGACCAGCATAGCCTTCGCTCTTGAGGCGTACTTAGTCTCCAAAGGTATTTCGAAATGCTATGCGGTTTACTCATAATCAAACCTTATCCTTTATAAGGTAAAGCCAAAATTCGAAGTCGTATTCATCAAATGTTACGCTTTTTAAAAAGAAAATTTAAATTTTTTGGAATATCATACTGTAAGGTTGTTGGTTTGAGTGGTGCTTGAGAAAGGTGAATACTACTTTATATCGTTCCCGAAATAGGATACGTGATAACATCTATGTACAACCTTGCTATGTATAGAGCTGTACATAAGTGTTTCCAATATAAATTATCTATACAAATAAATAAAATTGAAGTGTCTGTTTGTCATATCAAAATTACAGCTTTTTACTAAATGCATATGAAAATATATACGGTACTAATAACAAAAATACAATTTTTAAGTTTTTGTCTCTCTGTCTGTCCGTCTGTCTGTCTATTTGTTCCGGCTAATCTCCGAAACAGCTGAACCGATTTTGAAGGGATTTTCACTGGCAGATGGCTGATGTCACAAGGAGTATCTTAGGCTGCTTTTATTTTAGAAAAATAATTAGAGGTCCGCGCAAAAAAATTAAAACCCCAAATAACACGCCGGCGAAGTCGCAGGGAACAGTTAGTTTAATAATAAAAACATTATTTCATCTAACGTATTAGCATATAAAACATAATACGTCCATAGTATTTTCAGGATAATTAAATTGAAATTAAATACGATAGTATATAAGTCAGTGAAATTAAAAAGAACTGATTTTATAAAAAAAAAAGAAAAAATATTTAATTAATCCAATGACTATTTTCACCCAATGTTTAAAAAAAAGTCTGGATGCTATTGAAATATCTTTAGAATGCTGTTGTCATTGCCGTGCATACTTAAAGAGTAGGGAGAACACCAAAGATCATACATATTTTTATGATCTGTGGGGACAATAACGTCATGACACATTATGTCATGGAAACTGTATATGCGAACATACCTGATGCGCTGCTATATCGGTGCCGCAGCAGTCTCATCAGCATCCTGAACGCATTAGCGAGGCACACACAATAAATCTTACTGGTAATCACCAGTCTGTGAAATTAAAGGACAGCGTTTTTAGGACTCTTCTCATTATATATTGAAACCCTTGAAGGCTCGATTATGCTGATGATAGATAAGTGAATTCTCTATCGAACATCATAATTAAAATAATCCACTAAACTCGATTAAATGAAAACATAAACAGGTTTACATTACGCAATTAAGCGTCGAATGAAATTGACTTATATTTTATTGTTAATTTGTGATCACGTTAATGAATATATCAACTCCGGACCAGTTAAAAGAATACACGTGAGAAAAATGTTTCAAACATAGGAACAATGGGCCATAGTTGCCACATTTGGGTTGGTCGCCCCAAGATTTTTATTATTTTGTGTTGTTATCAGGAAGATGCTGCTGCCCATCTCCTCTTTCCTTTCCATCAATCGTCTATTACGACATCCACGGTAGGAAATAAGGTTGTGAATTCTCATACACCAACAGGTCACGATAAGGTGTAGTGGCGGCGTAGTATGATGCTTTATGATGATGATGACGTAATATGCACCATATTACATTTTGTAATATGATGTATTAATCAATGAAACTTGCAATTACAAACAAACATTTGGTTTACACATTATTTTAAGTAAATTGTGCTTTGAAACTTGATACAACAATACGGGGCTACATTACGCCGCTTACACGTGTAGTGTAGTGTAGTTTTTATCCCGATAAGTGACCCTCAATATTTTTTATTACGAATTTAAGAATTTTTATAGGGCACAGGGTCGTCGTAGAGGGCAGAACAACGTCTGCCTGGTCAGCTAGTATTTATATATTTATTTGAAAGTCGTAATACTTCATTCATTTCAATGAGTGTATTATCATTCCTTCCAAATTTAAAACGATATGTCCACAAATATTTTTTCTGCGACAGCAACGCGGCGGGTACTAGCTAGTATGATGTAACAATATACCTGCATTCTAATGACTGATACATAGATGTCTCAAATAACGTTGATGTTTTAGAAAAAATAAAATGGAGACAAGAAAAAAAAAACAGATGTACAATTTTTCTCGGTTTTACCTATCTTTATTATTTGTCTTATTATTTATAATATCTATTCAATCATAAATCTATAGAGGGGTTTGAGTTTGTTCATCATCATCATCATTACAGCACTTCACAAGATCACTGCTGAACATAGGTCTCCCCCAAGGAACGCCACAAAGCACGGTCCTAAGCCACTTGCATCCATTGACTTCCTGCATGTCTTACCAGGTCGTCACTCCATCTAGTGGGGGGACTCACTGTCACTCGAGAACCTTTCTTCCCCGTCGGTTGTCGGTTCTTCAAGGTATATGGCCGGCCCATTGCCACTTTAGCATACTAATCCATTAGGCTATGTCGGTCACTGTACTGTGCTACTACTAAACTGCAGTTTGTTCATTGAATATTAATTTGAAAAGACTAACCGTTCATGCGACACGTTATAAAATAAAATTGTAGGTACTCGTACGTATGGGAACACACGCATTACAAAGTCATACCTACGTTCTTTGCAGCAAATTATTTCCGTGAAGATCATTGACGTATAGAGTTGAGACGGAACAATTCGCGCTGCATTAATAGAAAGGGCACCGGATAATGCTTCGTAATATACATTTAACGATAGAGCTTAAAGAGTATTCTGAGAACGCAGATTATCTGTGACCGTACACCAATCCAAAACCTGCATCACTGCAGGCGCTATTAGTTGTTCTTGACGTCAAGACCCGGAGACAGTAAAAGCGATATTACATTTTTTCCCTTTCATTCTACGATTAAAGTTTGCTGTTCAAAATAACTGAGTAATAAATTGAAAAAAAAATAATTGTAAACAACTTATTTAAAAGCGGATATTACAATGTTACTGACATCCTAGGCTGCCTAGTAAGTTTTAACTATAAAATTATTAAACGTTGTAGAGCCATGCTGTAGCTATGTTAGTAGTATAGTTGTAGCACGAATGGTTCGGCTCGACTGGGGAAGGATCACGCTCTCACAGAATACTAGCGTAAAATAGCAGCTTAATGCTGCTGTGTTTCGTGTGGTGAGTGTAGAGAACCGGAGATACTTTTTACTGGAAACGAGGCGTTCCATCTCAGTCTCAGGAGTGACAATGTATCTGCATTTTCATTCTTAATAGAGGATAGATGTAGATGTCTATGGGCCACAGCAACAACTTACTACCAGTTCAACTTTGTGCTCGTTTGTCATCCTTATTCTATAAAAAAGACTATGGCACCGCAGCTAAGTGACTTCTTTCGTGACAAGACTCTTCCAAACTCGATACTATCAATAAATCTCGTTTTGTAAGGCCGTGCCGTTAAGGTGGCACAAGTCGCGGGCTCGAACTCGCTGGTGGGCGCGGCCAAAAAGCACGCTGTCTCACCTGGCATCGTGCCCGACAGAGATAGTATCAGTGATGAGCATATCGACACTAGTATTCACGCATGTCTTGTTCGTACGGTGTTCCGAACCGTTAGAATAAAAACGAAGTTACACGAACACGATGCAACATCTATACTAATATAATAAAGCAGAAGAGGGTTTTTGTTTGTTTAAACGTGCTAATCTCTGGAACTACCAGTCCGATTTGAAAAATCTTTTTTTGGATATTATAGCCAGATTCATGTTGAATAGTATAGGCTATACAGCATTAGGCTATATATAGGAAGTCAGAAGAAAAAGCGCTGTTATGGTTCGGGATACGTAAATACAATGTTCTAGAAAAATATAGATCTTTACTCCGTCTAAAAAAAGTCCGCGATACCATATGTCTATTTCTTATATATAAGCCACAATTAGGCATTTTGTGACAAAAAAATGAAAATTTAATTATTAGGCACCTTACGAACCAAAGTTACTTCATTATCAAGACAATTTTATGAAGATAAACTTCGTTCTTTATACCATGTTTATATAGTACATAGTTTAAGAAATAATGTAAAATTAAAATAATTCAATACCTACTTGGCTTGACGCGCAAACAACGCATAACCCCTAGCCCGGTGCGAACTGAGAAGCCAGTATTGAAAGCTTCTATGAGCGCGGTTAGGTTAGCCGTTAGTTCAATCGTTATCTATATATACACAAATAAATAAAATTGAAGTGTCTGTTATAATGTCAAAATAACAGCTTTTTACTAATTGCGTATGAAACTGTATACGGTACTTATAACATTAACACAATTTTTAACATTTTTGTATGTCTGTCAGTCTGTTTGTTGCGGTTAATTTCCAAAACGGCTGGACCGACTTGGGCGGGACTTTCACTATTAGATAGCTCATGTTATAAGAAGTAACTTAGCCTGCTTAAATTTTAGAAAAATTATTAGGTGTCTTTGCAACAATATTAACGCCCTAAACTAAACGCGGACGAAGTCGCGGGGTACAGCTAGTAGCTAAAATAAATTCAAAATTAATTGAGTACTTTTATCTATCTCCCGGGTGACCGTATGAATGATTAGTTACATCTTTATTTCTGAACTCTTTAATTTCACGTTGCTATGGTATTTTGAAAGTTTAAATTTAATTAATTAATAAGTATAAGAGGTTGATAGCAAATTTATCAAGAATCATTTCTTGCCAACACACTTTTCATGAATCGTGTACGTTTTTCTTTAAAACTGGAAAAAACCGCGCATAATATGCCGACAGATAAAATAAAAGTACTCCATTAATCATGACAATTTTTCCATATATTACAATCAAATAAAATATTTGATTGCAATTATAAAATGCTGGAACTAGGTGTCATGTCATGCCACGCATCTCGGACACGTGATGACGCGGGTGAATCCACGAAATTATTAGGTATACGTCTGTGGCTCTATATACCTAATATAGATTGCTTATTTTATTATGTTTAGTTTTCCCCGAGTGGTCATGCAGCAATCACTCAAGAGTTCGGCTTCGAACGTGTGTAACTCGATAATTATCCCACGGCAACGAAATA